TGTTATTAGCCCGGCAGCAGCTAGAACACAGCCGACCTCTACTCCCTCCATAATTCCACAGGAGTAGGTTCCTTGGTCGACAGTGTGTAGAATGAACAGAGGGCGCTGTTGTCAAGGGACAGCCTGGATCGAATTCGATGGGGGCCGTGGTGGGTTAATGGAAGGGGGTGAAGTAGAACAAGTAAAGATGTACTGGGAAAGATTTGGTTCTGATGCTGCACATTTTAATGACTAAAAACAATTGTTGTAGAGTTCCTCTGAGTCTTGAAGGATTTCATTTGTTGATTGAACGCCATGTGTGTGTTTATTTATTGACTTTAAAGGGAAGATCCTTGAACCTGAGGTGATGTTAAAACTAAAAACACCTCCTGTCCGTGGTTACCTATAGATAAACTGTAGGTGTTGATCCAGAATGATTTGCTAATGTTTGGAAGGAGAAGCATAAGTGTGGTTCTTTATATAGTGGTTTTACTCTGCCATCTGCTGGTGGAGAATAGAAAAAATCTTCAGCCTGTGTAACTGTATGTCATATGTTTTATGTTCTCATGACTCTTTTAAATGACTATTTACTCGTTGGAAAACAACCTATTTTTTTAACTGGAATTTTTTGGTACAATTATTTTATGCCTTCACTTAAAAATGTGAAAATGTTTTGCAACTGCATTCAACAGCCATAAATTCCAGAAATGATGTAGTCTTTTAGTTCAAAAAATTTACAAAAAAAAGTTTTTTCTTTTCATGACTCCTGATTAATTACGTTATATTCCTGTTAAATTTCCACAGTCACAATCAGGTTAGACCCAGGTTTACACTCTTGATCCTTCACAGGACCCACACACACCAACATTGGTCTCTAGTTGGTCCATACAAACCATGAACATGGAACAATACATTTGATTTGATTTCAGTTTTACTTTTAATACTCACAATTTTTATTATTATTATTTACCGAGTTTAAATGTATAGATTACCCACTAAGACACGGAGCATTTATGGTGAATTTTGATACTGTTTAGATTTGAACTGTGATACGGGTGTTACTTTATACAACTTAAAAAAACAAAACAAACAACAACAGTGATTCACAGAGAGAAGTACAAAAGGTGCTGCAGTGTAGAACCACAGAGAATGTTCACCTTGATAACACCAGACTGTACGTCTAACACAGAAGGCTTCAGTCATCTCCTGAGTGCTCAGGCTAACGTGCTATCAGGTCACTCCATGTGGTTGCTATGGCAGCACCGGTCCAGTCCTCACTAATCAGTGCCCACCTCACTGGTAACTCTAGAGTCTGACACTGAAAACATACGAAACCTAACTACGAACATCACTGGAGTCTTCAGACAATCAGGGCAGAGAGGACATGTGGTAATAAGACGTGGAAGATGAAGCTCAAGTGTTTTTCTTTTCTTTTTTTTATTAAGAAGAATAAAAATACAAACAGTGGCATTTTCTTCCAGAGAAATGAGAATATAAGAGAACAAGTGTTTTCCGTGTGATGGTGCCTGGAGCAGGTCCTTCTTCAAACAGTCTTTGACAAAAAGCTACGCCTAAACACAGCAATTAAATAACAACTGACTACACCCACGGACACAGTATTAGAAATGAGTCCACTTGTGTCAAACAAGCAGATCCCATAATATCACCTACCCCCCCCTCCCAACCCCCCCCCGTACACAGAGTCACTCTTGAAGTGTTAGTGTATGTGTGTGTGGCTAAAGAAAACTCTTCAGTTCAGTTGTGTTCCTGCACTTCAATCATGACTGCAGAGACGTGATGTGGTTTAGAGCTGACTGAAGGTGAAGTTAGAAGATAACCAAGGCTAACTCTAAATGAACAGTAAACTACAGTGATAACGTAACAAAATAATATCTATGGTCATTCCGCGCGGCGCAACGACAGTCTGACATGAGTATAGTAGAAAAGAAAGACAAAATACTCAACGTAACAATTCTTAAAAACGTAAAATAATAATAAAAAGATTTGTAATTTCACAGACAGTTAATTGAAATTTAAAATAAAATTAATTTCCATTGATCCATTTTAATTAATGTTGACAAAAAGAATATGCTACTACTAGGTAGAGACCATTTAAGGAAATAAAATGTGAAAAAATGTAACAAAACTCAACTGCATAATAAAGAACACGTCCTTTTTCTCATATTTTTTTTTCTAAGCTCGCAACACAACGTCATCTTCGAGATAAATGTTTGTAACAGTTTTTCACTAAAATTACAGTCCAACTGCATTTGGGTCTAAATCAAGAGAATTTGTCACTGTAGCTACAGACTCGTCCTTATTTTGTTTAAATCATTTCAATTTATGATGTCAACATTAGTTTATATCATGGTGTGGGGAACAAAAAACATCCACTGCCTGAAGTGAGTCAGATTGAAATGAAGTCAGTCACACACAAACATTTAGCTCTAAATGTATAGAACAAAACCCAGCAGCCTGTTAATCTGCAGACAGACAGCCTTGCCAGAGGCTAAGATGTGTTAATGGAAAAGACAGACCAACAAATAGTCATGAAAATCAGATACAAAAAAAAAATATATGGAGTACAACTGTACCAGCAGTGGGTATTTCTAAAGTGTTAAGGATTAAAAAATAAATTCTGATTAAATATATTTATCGTATAGACTAAGAAGTGTAATAGAAACCAGCTATTTGCAAACATCGTCGTGTGAAAGACGTCCGTTTCGTCAGAACAGTGAGCATACCTTAATTTCCCAAAGGTGTTAATAAAGTTCAACCTAAACTAAACTAACTAATGACATTAAACTAGAAAAAAAATTGTTAACAGTTGATACATTAGCTCAGGATTATAGAAGGCAGATTAGTGTTGTGTTTGAGGAAGTAGACAGGACAGAGCCTGAAGCTGGACACAACCTTTACAGTCTTCACTGATTCAAAATGATATGACTGGACTGTTGTTAAATCAACAACAGACAAATTATAGGGAGATTTTCACTGCAACCAACATGGTATAGACCAGTGACTACTAAACAACGTGCACCTTAGAACTTTATTAAAATCCCTTAATTTAACTGAAAAGTATTATTTATTTACGTAACTTTTTTTCTTTGTTAGTCTTTGCAACAGGGAGAATAATTATATAACGTTCCACTGGGTGGCAGCAGATGGCTAAAAAAAGTCCTGCAAGTACACTGGGTGGCAGCAGATGGCTAAAAAAAAACAAAACCCCAAAGCTGTTGCAGAAGATCTTTGTGTGCATCTTTTGTCAAGTCCTGCAAGTACATCGGCATTGTGTTCAACTAAACAGGCCCAGGTCTTAAACTAAGAAAAATCTGTTGTAACTAGAAGAGCGTTTATCATTTATTACATTTACTTTTTATGACTTCTTCATTTGGTGGAGCACTAGATGAATTATTTCTAATGTAAAATATGTGCAGTTGCTCAAAAGGTTGACAAACACTGGTACAGACACTGGTACAGACACTGGTCTAAAGCTCCATCAATCTCCCTGTCATCTCTGTGGCCCAGGTGGAAGTGTCCAGGTACGTCTGCTAGTTTTACTGCATTAAGAAAATACAATGTGCATTCTAGCCTAACAGGTAACCTGCTACCTGACCTTTACATGCATTAGTGCAATAGGAAGTTCTGACAGCAGTGAGTGAGTGCGGTATTCAATATGAAAATAGTGAAGACCTGATCTATGGCTTTTATATTTGTAGAAAAAGGCAAGAAACTTCTTTGGCGAATTAAGGCAAGTAAAAATCAAGAGAGAAAGAATAGAAGGCAGTAGAAAAGCCGCTCAAAGTAAGTTTGATGATTGTTTACGTTCCATCCAAAAACAGTATGAAATATTTACTTTTTTTTTGTTAAGAAATTTTAACAAACTTTTTTTTTTTTTTTTAAGAAATTTTAACAGAAGGATTTCCACTTATGTTTGGGTTCTACAACCATTAGTAAATGGTACTATATAAATTGTCTTACGTTGTGTTTTTGGCTGAAGAACGTTTTGATGTTTCTGCTCCTCCTCTTCACTGATCATCTGGACTCTGAGGAGCGCCACCTCTGGCCTTGATTTGGAACCAGGCGTCTCCCAGAGCCTTAGCAAAGTGGTCATCAACTGAACCAGTGATAGACACAGAGTTTGACACAGGTTCCGCCTCCTGGTAGTTTTTGCCCAGGCTGCGGCGGAAGTGCTCCTCAATAACTGGATCACACACGGTGTTTGCTGAAAGACAAGTCAAAGTGGATGTGAATGACCTCATGGTGTCAGGCTGTTTCAAACACAAAGATCCTCATCATTCGTTCAGCATTAGTTAGTGATAAGTATGACACATTCACTTTTGAGTTTGATTATGATCAACACCATTTACATCTACATTTATAAAACTGATTTATCAACAGAGCACATGCATTTTGAGGAATCCTTTTGTACTGTGTTCTACCACAAGAGGGGGCATTTTGAGGAATCCTTTTGTACTGTGACAGTACTGTGTACACAAGAGGGGGGTGTAACTTAGCTGCAGAACTGTATGAACTCTGTCAGCACCAAGCAGGTTTGGATCAGTATAAAATGGAACAACAATATTAACTGGCAGTTATCTCTGTCTCTGTTGAATATTTACATTTAAATTAGATGCACATCAACAACAACACCTCTGCACAAGAGGATGAAAAACATTTAACAGAGGCTACGAGGCCCCCTGCAGGTGGGGGTCAGAAAACACTGTTCTGTCCTCTGACAAAGTACAACTGGCAAATAGAAAGACAGAGCAACAAAGTTTGGCCTCTTAAAGAATCAGACAAAAGTGTTTAAATCTCTGATCATCAATCAGTGTGAGCATATTAAAAGAGAGAAACCAAAATATGCTGTAATATGGTCTATTTACTTGACTTGAATTTGTTTATTTAAACAAAGACAGACAAATACATAAGATTACAAACTGCAGCTGCACTCTGTGTTGTAACCACTAAGACTTACCATTTGTATTTCTTTGATCGGCATGCTGACTGGCAGAGCAGCCGTTCATGTGGCAGTGAGACAGGTTACAGTTGCGGTTGCTCGCTGGGGCGCAGATAATAACTGAGGGACGATTCTATAAATGATCATGAAGACATAGACACACACATTTCTTTCCATTGTAAAAACTGAAAGTCTCTACAATTCTTTCCATTGTAAAAACTGAAAGTCTTCTTAGAAGAACACCCATGCACAGACTTACATACCATTAATATACAAAAGAGCATGCAAGTCCCTGACTTTCCTGCAGTGCCCAAGTACATTCATTACAACTGGTAGTACTACTCCAACAAGGACACTTTTTCTTTAAGAAGTTAATTTGGCTTCAGAAACTAGCAAGTAACCGCTAACCGTAAAATTACTGTGCAAGATTATTTTAAATCTACTTAGTCCTAAAGGCTTTGTAACTCCACCCAGGTTTATTGTCCTCATACTCTCACGTACCTGCTGCCGCTCCAAAGTCCCTCCAATAACAGATCTCTCTCTGCTACTGACCCCAGTTTCGTGGCTGTTTTTGGTCAGAGGCAAAGGCCGATCAACGGCATAGTCAGAAACAGAAGCATACATGCCAGTCCCATGGAGACCATTAGAAGAGGACGTAACATGCTCCACAGGACTGCGGCTCCAGGGCTCAATACTGTTGTCTCCAGCAGAGGGACGGGCCCTTAATCAAACATGAAACACATGCATGAATTTCAGAAATGTGGTTTTTTAACATGATTGACAACTATTTCCATTTCATTTTGCAGCCATAACAAACATAAATCAATTAATAAATTGAATAAAATTATTAATAAATTCAGTACATAGAAAAGAATGCTATTCCGTATGTATTGTGCTGTATACAACACTTACAATAATGATACAGTAAAGAGATTTTATACAAAATTTAATAGTGTCCATTTTTTACCAGTACTTACAGCTGAGTGGCAAACAGTCTGCTCATTTTGGTCATGTGGTCATCATCACAGTTGATTCGATCATCCATTTGTTCTTCACCATACTTGCGTTTGTTTGGACAGTGTGATGGGTGCCCAGTCATGTTGGGCATAGCAGTGGACAGAGAGGCTGTCCTGGACTCATCTGTGCAGAGCAATGAGTAAAGCAATGTTTGTCATTCCAATATGAATTACACTTAAAAGGAAATAATAGAAGCTGAGAAAATGGTTTCTATCCCAATCCCTACCAGTAGATTTCCACAAATGGATTTCTTTAAAAGGTTCACAGCACATCCTTCATCAGTAAATGGTACAAACAGTTCTCCTGCTTTATTAGCTGACTTTTTGTTCTGATCTGTGTTTTGTTTTTGACAATTCTATTCTCACAGAACAGTCGCTGAGGTGATTGATCAGGTGACAAACATCTTTATTATCTTCCTAAATGTAATTTTAAAAGTTTAAGTCATTACTACTAACTGGTTTGAACGATGGAACAGAACGGCCACTTCTTAAGCAGGTTAAGGCTTTGAGTTGTTATATAACTGTTTCTTGTACAATGTTAAATTATTTTAGCTTTCTCAACAGATGACTATTGTGTTTGGTTGCATCAGGCTCGACTAAAACTAAACTAACCGTTTGTCAACATTCACGAAGTCACTCACCGTCGTAGTGCAGTCTGCCGATGTTATTGTTCATCTTGTCCAGGAACTGAGAGTTCAACAGGTCCATTATACCAACAAGCATTTATACAGGCTGGCTAGTGGCTAACATCGATGTTAGCAGGACACACTAGCAAGTACGGCAAACAAGTTTCTATCCTGAGAAACGAAGAAAAAAAAAACACAAGTTGACATACAACTCACTAAGGTGGAAGTAACTAGTGTTTTAGTCGACAACTTCGATCACTTTGACTGATACGGCGACTGGAAGATTAGCACCAGTGTCAGTTAAACACGCTCAGCTAAGCGCTAGGCTAACCTAAACAAGACGGGCGTTAAAAACGACATACGTTTAACAACATTCAAATGAATCGCGATTGAAGCAAACGATTGTCATATATATATAAATATATATATATATATATAAATTCATAAAATATAATAACATTTAACTATTGGCATTGTTCGAGTGTTTAAACACTTACTGAGAACTTTAGTGGCTACGTCTAAATGGCAAAGCTAACGTTAGCGTCAACTTTTGTCCGTTAACGAATCAATTATTAAAAGCTAGATTAACAAAAGAGAGACCTCCGTCTTATTATTTACTTATAAAAAGGTCATATTTAGGGGAACTTGTTAACTTATTTAAAAAGGTCTTTACAACAACGTCACATAAAAGTCGGTAATACTTACCCCATTAAAAAGTTAGCTTTGCATCCACAACAACAGCAAACCCCAGTTTGTGTCTGCCTCCACTCTTGAGGTCAAAGAAAAAAAAAAGCGAGGAGTCCTAGCGGAGAAGGAGGGAAATGCAGCCAACAGATGAACGGTTTGCCAAGTCCGCTAATCACGAGCGTATTTTGAGCTTGTCTTCCTCTATATTTGCACGAAAATATCGACACATGCGTGCTGCTATTTATTGTCCAGAACGCGTAGTTTCCCGTCATGTATCTGTCCACTCAAATACATTTTCAAAGTTAGGAAGGAAGGCGTGTTACCCGCTGCACTGTAGAACCACAACAAGATAATAAGGTTTGCTAATAATCCTGGATCCTGTTCATCCCACAAACAGAACCCATTTAACATTACATTCGTTGTGACCTCTAAACAGTGCAACATATTGATCTATTGATTTGTCCCTTGGCCTTTTTTTAAATAACCATTTATTACCCGAGTTGCAGACATGGTGGTCTGTCCTGGTTTCATTACACTGATTAAACTGGTATTTTAAGGAAAACAGAGCAGTAGTTCTCTAGTATATGAAGATACTGCACAATAATATTGGTACGGCTTCATCATATAATGCTGTTTTCAAGAGATTTGGATAATTGTTATATTATGATGCAAACACGTCTGTGTAGGTTCTCAGTCATCCAGGTCATTTAATCCAAAAACAGTTCATCAAAAAACAGTTACATCGAGGATGAACAAAAAAAGAAGAGAAACAACCCCTTCGTCCAGTTGCCCTCGATGTAACTGTTTTTGGATTATGACACAAATAGACCGATGTGAGGTTCTGATCTTGGTTCTGTGTCTCAGGGGACTGTTAATTTCACTCTCGCTCCATACTGCCCATCAGTGCTAACAGCCATCTTAGTTTTCAAGACAACATACATCACAGTGAAAGGCTGTGCACGGGCACAGGGCAGGAAACACAGGGAGGGCATACGAGGTGGGCAGTAAGGATATTACGAGGCAATCCTCCATATAACCTTTGGCACTTGCAACTCTCTATTTTCATTGCTGCAGATTCAAAGACGCATGACAACTGTGTGGCAGTAGAAAATGGGGGAGGGTAAAGGGAGGCAGGCACGCCAGTGAGTGAGTGAGTGAGGAGAGGAGAGGACGGAGGAAGGAGGAGAGACACAGCTCCGGCATTTGCAGAGGCACGGGATTGGTCGAGCTGGAGGAGTGCATCACAGCAGAGAGGGGGAGCTCTGAGGATGCTCCACTGAGCGGGGAGGGAACACAATCACTGGGAGTTTGCACTGGGAGCTCAGCCATTTACAGCTAGGTCTCTGCTGCAGAATCATTTTCTACACCCAGGGCTCGTTTCCTCTGCAACTCCCTCTGCTTCAACCATGAATTATTTGCGTCGCCGTCTTTCAGACAGCACCTTCATCTCAAACCTGCCCAATGGCTACATGACAGATCTGCAGAGGCCTGATCCTGCCCAGGCTTCTCCAACTGCTCCCACCCCAGCTAAGTCTCCTACAACTGGGCCTGCAGCTCCAGCCCCTTCCCTTGCTCCAGAAAGGAAACCCCAGTCATCTCAGTCCAGCAGTGCAGGATTCTTCAGTTCCATCACCAACGTGGTGAAGCAGACAGCTGCCTCAGCAGGATTGGTTGAACAGACCCAAGTCACGACACCTAAGAAGTTCAAGATTCTCCTGGTCATTGACGAACCACAGCAGGAGTGGTAGGTTCTGATCCAGTTTATCGTGCATGCTGTCGTGAATTTCGTCCTCTTGATTCTAAATGCGATAGGCAGGGGTCAGATGAGCACTGCTGCTGTGGCTGGGTGGCCAATTCTACCTCAGTTACAATAGCTAACCAAATAGGTGAGGATGGACAGACCACTGATGTCAGTGGTAATAACATTAACACCAAGATGGAGGTTTTTATTGTCCTCTATTCTCATCGTTGTTTTGATTTTTTTTTCTGTAGTCTTTTGCTTTGAAATTTAAGAAACAACAGAAAAGATAATGTGTTTATGTCTTTCAAAATAAAAAAAACAGTCTAAGAGTGAGTTTAGTTTGCAGCGTCTGCATTGATATTGAGGATGACCATTCCACAGGTAGTGCAGAATTCTCAGTTCCTTGACAAGTAGCCTGTATGCTGCAATGCCTCGCTCCAGTGGGGGAAGGGAGGGTTCCCCGTGCCCACTGATCGCAGATATCAAGACATGTAGCGTACATGCATAACAAATGATTAATGTGAGCTACTGCGGGGAACTCCGACAGTACGGGTTTAAATTAGTCCGTCACACGTACAGAGACAGGAGTAGGAGTAGAAATAAATGTTGCTCAGCCTTCAGGGGAAACTCTGATCACTTCTGTTAACGAAGGCTCGGTGGTAAAGTAATTAAAGCGTTGGACTGACAAGAAAAACTGATGAAAACAATCCTCCCTGTCACTCTTGACTGGTAAAGAAGTACAGTGTGTTACAGTGTTACTACAAAGCCGTGCAACTTGTATTGAAAAATGTGCATTTGTACTGATACTCCTTATGGTTTATTTGACTAATTTTATGATATTTATTGTTAAAGCCCAAGCCACTGATGTTGTACTGTAATATCAAACATCTGAAAGCTGGTGTGATGTTTTTGAAACGCACGTGGAAGAGAACATCTTTTTTATCCTGTTCAGATAATATTGAAATATTGATGCATATTGAAACTGCCTATTAGGTTGGAGGTACGCCATATGTTACTATCTACGGCCGCAGAATACGCACATGGACACACGCAGAATACACAACTACAAAAAAAAATATATTACTTTGTATAAAACACAGCAGAGGGATTGTCAAAATGCAAACACAACAAGAATAAGAAAACAGCCGTATTTGACACAAACACAACAAGAATAAGAAAACAGCCATATTTGACATCACTGTGACTTACTCTACCTCACCCTGCTGGAAATCAGTCTCCTTGGTGGGGGGACAAAAGGACCACTAATAATACACACACTGTAGTTTGAGAACCAGTGATGTAGAACTAAATTAATTGGTGATTGAAGGAAGGCTTATATCATTACACAAAAACAATAAAACCTAGAAACCGCAGTATCATACATGAACTTTAAGAATACTGCAGTGCCCAACTCCCGCCCCACTGGTCCTTTTTAGCCAGTGTATAGGACCAGCCATTTTCATAAGAGGAACTTTAATCAATTTTAATGAAGTCAGTCTTCTGTTAGTGGGATAGATGCCAGATGCAGTTCACTTACCATTAGCAGAAAGGAAGACATTTGTTAAGGGGCAGACGTCCCAGTGTGACGAGCCAACGCACCAACACTGTCTGTCAGTCCTGGCACAGAAACAGAAACAAAACTGAGGTTCAGAGGTGTCACAAACTGAAACAGACATTCACAGGGTAAAGTACTGCAGTTGTGTTTGTTAAAACAGCCATAGTTTCCATGATGTTGTTCTGGAGGGGGGGGTGTCTTAGTGTCAGCTGTGTTGGTTGGTGGTCCCTGCAGACTCTCTGTTTCTAATGGTTTCTTGCTTCACATCCGGCCCTCGCTCCTCTAGAGAGCTCTGTGTGTTTGACTGTTGTATTTATATTTAATGTCAGCTCAGTGTCGTACAGTTCATATATATGTAATATAAGGTCCATGACCCAGTGGTTGGACATCATCACAGCGATAATCAATGTTCTAGGCCCATGCTTTGGAGTACAGCCTCGAGGTGATAGTACTATGTACCATGTAGTACTATGTGTTATACAATAAAAAGAAAATATCAGAAGAAAACAAACATGCACCAGTGTGAAAATAGAACCAAGTTTATCTTTCATTATAAAATCTATAATAAAATGTATTAAGCAAAGAAGATGGGTTTTGTGTTGACGCAGGTTTTTCGTAGGCGGTGTTAAAATACAAAAATAGCCTACTGTCACAGTACCGTATATTTGCCCTCTCTCCACATGTATATATATCATTTGATGGATGAGCCTGTTGGTAATCTAAAAAGGTTTGTGTTGTTCCTGCCAAGCTTGGCTTTAGAGACAGGAGCAGCAGATGGTTGACTGTCTCACTGCTTTAAACTGACGACATAATAATAATAATAATAATAAGTAAAAAGCAAATAATAATAATAAGTTAAAGCAGCCACTCAGTCATGTCTTTCATTAAACTCAACAGTTCAGATAAAAAAAAAACCCCAGCACTTCAGGTAGTTCTGTTCCAGATGGTAACTGAACATTAGACAGACGCACCGATGAAACATCAACCTTCAGCTCCTGCTCCAGGTCACTGTTCACACTCTGGAATCATCAGAGACTAATCATTTCACAGACGCATTTTAAACTTCAAAGGCACGAGGCATAACACCTGGTTTTATTTTATTGTCCTCAGTATTCAATTCTCCGAGCAACCATAGAACTAAAATATTTATTACTGGTTTCTCAGATTGAGTTTGTGAAAAAAACGTTTCTGTTACCTACAGTTAAATCAATATTTGGATTTCACACTGCTAAGAGCATAATGATTCCCTGGATAAAAAAAAGAAAAAATGTATAAGAAAAAAAATAATTTAAAAACAGTTAAATCAATATTTGGATTTCACATTGCTAAGAGCAAAATGATTCCCTGGATAAAAAAAAATGTATAAGAAAAAAAAAATTTAAATCAATGATGTAAAAATCAACAACACGACTACTACGTTTTAACCATAGTCGTAGAAAAATGCAACTCACCATACAAGTCACCACTTATTCCACCTACTGTCCTACAGCGTGTACTGTCATGGTTTGACCAGTGACCTTTTGAGATGATGCAGCAAACTCCCTACTACTTGATATGCGATTTTACTTATTTCAAACCCTACTACTTGATATGCGATTTTACTTTTTTCAAACAATGCAAATTGACACACATTTGTACTGATTTTTAACCGATTCACGATGCATCGTCTCATTCCATGTAAACATGCTGTTAACACACAAAGTAATGGAAGGATTTATGCACGATTTAAATGGCACAGCAGCATTCATGCTTGTTTATTTATGATAAAAGCTCCTTCCTTTCTTATTCTTATTTGTTCAGTTACCTTGATCTGTCTGTTAGTACCTTAGGCTCAGCCTCAGCCTCGGTAACTGTAGAACAGAATAATCACATATTCCCTCCACGCTTGCCTTGAGATTTGAAAAGTGACAATTAACCCACAGGTTGGTCTTTTTCCCGCCCCGCCTGATCTTTGTCAGCAGGGGGCTACAGTCAGAGCTCAGCGCGTCTTCATTTCCCCAGACGGAAACACAGCAGTTCGAGGTTCAATGCCTCTTTTTCTCAGCAGCCAAACATGCTTTAATGAGCCCAGAGATACATTATTCAGCTTGAGCTCCTCTGTAAAAAGACAGAAAATTGAAGATGCAAAAAGAGCAGACTGATGTCAACTGAGAGGGAAAGCAAATAGAGCGGTGAATATTATTACATCCAGACACACTCCAGCGTCACGTCTTTACTTTGGTGCAGAATAAATGTGTGTTTATGCTGCAACCATACATAACCATAAGTTATCACTGCACCAGTTGAGCAGTTTGGCACTGCGGTAAACTCCCGGTGTTGTTGTGTTTTTAGACGACCAAGAACAGACATTAAAGTCAACGTTTCTCTGTAGACCCCAATTATCTTTGATTTACTGCAGACGACCCCTCAGACAGAACTAAACCACAGACAGTAGATGGTGCTGTCAGCAGCACAGGCAGGGAATCTAACACAATCTGGAACATTTGCTATGCCATATTCTGTTGTGTTTTATTAAGAGACTACAGTTTCTGTCAAAACATCTGTCAAGTTTTAAGCTGCAAATTCTTTCTGACACCATGTACAACTATTTTTCGTTTTAAGCTGCAAATTCTTTCTGACACTATGTACAACTATTTTTCTTTTCTGTTTTTTTTAACAGGGCAAAGATTTTCAGAGGGAAGAAAATTCATGGGGATTATGAGATCAAAGTGGAGCAGGTACGTGACAGGAAGTCAGTGAAAACTAGGGCTGTAAGAAAATATCCATACACTGAAATAACGCGATGCTGTAAGAAAATATCCATACACTGAAAAAACGCGATATCTCGTTTCACGATACCGTATCAATGTATGTATTGATTTTTTTCTCACCAACTCCCAGTCCAATATTCCTGGTGTTGGTTCATTTTCTTGTTCTTTTCTTTCTTCTCTAGTGATTCCAAATGTAGATCCCTCTGTTACAGTGTTAGTAACCTGATGTTCAGGCTCTATATCACAACATATTATATTATCGTTATACGCATCATATCTCCAGTTTCTTGCCGATATCTAGCCCTCGTGATCGATCTTCATTTAACTTCTGATGCACAGCTAAACATAAGAAAACTAAACCCTTTGTTTCTGGTTTCTTACATAAACATCTGTAATCCACTCTCCTCAGGTTCAGTTCAATGAGATCAACATTGTGTCTCACGCCAATGGGACCTGCAACGTCAACATGCAGGTTCTGAGGAACGGCACCAAGGTCATTAGGTGAGGAACACACACACTCACACACACACAATTTATCTTCCACCACAATCAAGATGATTGCAGGTGCATTTTTGTCACATCTCTGCTTTATTGTTATTCTCCAGGTCATTCAAGCCAGACTTTGTCCTCATCCGTCAACACGCCTTCAGTATGACCCAAAACGAAGATTTCCGCAACCTCATCATTGGTCTGCAGTACGGAGGAACACCGAGCATCAACTCCCTGGAATCGATCTACAACATGTGCGACAAGCCCTGGGTGGTAGGGAAAACCGGACTGGAACGTTTTCATTAATGAACAAACATTTACATTCACACCAACTGGACGTCTGATTATACGTCTGTGTGTCCAGTTTGCCCAGCTCATAAACACCTACAGGAAACTGGGAGCTGAGAAGTTCCCTCTGATTGAGCAGACCTTTTACCCAAACTACAAGGAGATGGTGAGGAAAAAAAAGAGAATTAACAAAAAAAAAACTGAATTAAAATTGTTTTTAAATTTTAATATAAAAATCAGAGTGAAAGACTCTAGGACTTAAACTAGATTTTTCTGTTGAAGGTAAGCATACCATCATTTCCGGTTGTTGTGAAGATCGGACACGCCCATTCGGGTATGGGAAAGGTACAGTTCTAGTTCCATTTTTACCATGAATATCCAAATATATACCCATTTATATACAATAGGCATTGTATAAAAAAATCAATTTTTTTCTCTCTATAAATATGTATATATATTGCATAAATAAATGTATATGTATTGCATATATAAAATGCAGAAAATACCAGGTCATTAAGTTCGTCTTGAGAACAAAAAAAAACAAAAAAAAAAAACCAAAACATCAGCACCACCTGGAGGCCTGACTAAGCTTAATTCACGGCTGAGCCTACTTCCCATGTTTAGGATCTGTATGGAAATGCATATTTTTTTTATAATTTACATGCTCTACTTTGAAAATGTGCAAAATTATTAAACAAATTCCCCTAGTCCCCTGCAGTACATACAGAGAACCTCTAGGTGTTCCTGTCATTTTTACTCTATGACCTCTCTATGACCAGGTGAAGGTGGACAACCACTCAAAATTCCAGGACATAGCCAGCGTGGTGGCTCTGACCCAGACCTACACCACCACAGAACCTCTGGTGGACTCCAAATACAACATCAGGATCCAGAAGATCGGCCAGGACTACAAAGCCTACATGTACGTTTCACTGCACACCTGCACAAAGGTATATTTATTGTTAAAGAGTGAGAATAAAAAAAATCAAACTGGAGTTTTGTTTTCACTTCAGGAGGACTTCTATTTCTGGGAACTGGAAGTCCAACACGGGCTCAGCCATGCTGGAGCAGGTGGCCATGACCGACAGGTACAGGAGGTGTTGGTTTACACACTGTCACAGCAGAATGAACTGTTAGCCTTTGGTTAAAGATGGAGGACAAACGGTCGACATCCTGGTACAGTCTCCATGTAGACAGAGACAGGAAGACAGGAGTGTTTGTCTTGGAGAGGCAGACAGATTTAAGATGAGAACAGACTACAGTTCCACCTCCAGTACAGACGTGTGAAAAACAGCTTTCTTGTGACAAACTGCACATTCTGCATGTCTGCACAGTGAGGGAGGATAACGAGTCAGATAACAGTACCAGAACAGGAATGGAAGCTGGAGCTGCAGCCATAAAAATCTAACTGTTAAAAATCTAACTTGACAAGCAATAACTGTCATGGAAATGAAAAACTATCAACTGTTTCTGCGAAGCCACATTTACATATAATCAAAAGGAAATGGAATTCCTACAAAAGAAATTAAAATTGAACAAAGGGGAAAAGAAAGGAACAAGTTGTTGCAATTTCTCCACTGAAGCAAAAATTAAAAAAATATTAAAGTTGAAATTAGGTTGCTCTGCCCCATCCCCTTGTACCAGCCTTGTGCTTCCTATGGGGGGGGGGGGGAGGGGGGGTGCACCTCACTCTAACTACTGTTTTCATCATAAACATGTGATTTAACAATAATCAACATACTTGTTAACTGTTGTATTTAGGTATAAGCTGTGGGTCGACACCTGCTCAGAGATGTTTGGCGGTCTGGATATCTGTGCTGTCAAAGCCATTCACGGAAAAGACGGACGAGATTATATCACCGAGGTAGGAGTTGATGCCTACTGAGCTGAACCCACGTCCAGTACTAATGTAAAAGTACCACTGAATTATGTCAATGTCCTGTTTTCCTGATAAAACCATCCACTGGGGGGCGAAGGTCACAGGTTCCTCCATGCCATTAGTGGGGGAGCACCAGGCTGAGGACAGACAGCTGATTGCTGACATGGTGTTGGCCAGAATGAACCAGTTAGCAGAGAAGGAAGCAAACGCTCCCCAGAGACCCACCACCGTCCAGCCATCCCAGGTACAGTAACGTTAGTACCATCAGTACCAGTGCCTAGAATCAGTACCAGTGCCTAGAATCAGTACCAGTGCTTAGAATCAGTACCAGTGCTTAGAATCAGTAGACTTCATCAAGTTTCAATTCACTGAAGTTCTACAGTAGCTTTTAAAGTAAACCATAAAAGGTTTAAAAATTGTATCTCCAACTTTAAATTCCAACCATCTTCTAACACCATTACTTATAAATCTTTGATTTATTTTGAGCCGTGTCTGTAACTGATGGAGTTGTTTATGAGACTCATTTAAAAACGAGTCAAACCAAAGTGCTGAACAATAATAAATGTATAAACGTCATAAAACAAGACACGACAAAAGTCACTACAGGAATAAAAGCGAGGAAATAGTACAGTCACCTAAACTGAGAAAAACAAGTTTTTAGAAACAGATTTCAAAACAAGTGAAGATGAAAACATTATAATTGAATAAACAGTTAATATTATTTGAACCCGGTTTTATCTGCATTATTATAAATACTACTACAGTTTATTTACAAAAAAAATGTAAATCAAATATAACAAAACGATCTTGAAAATTTAAAAAAATTAAAATAAAAAAATGTAAATCAAATATAACAAAATGATCTTGAACATGTTTTAAAATATAAAAACACTATCTTTGTCCTTGTAGGGAGCCGGGCCAAAGGGAGAGCCTGTCGGCGAACCCACCAAGAACGGCGCCGCCCCCCCACCCCAAGGCTGTCTGCAGTACATCCTCGACTGTAATGGTGGCGCAACAGGTCCCAAACCTGTACAGGCCAACTGAGTCACCCCGGGGGGGAAGAGGGAACGACAGTCTGTGTCTTTGGATAACAGTGACATCCTGTGACTGTGAGCACGGGCAGACGTGTGTGTGCGTGTGCGTGTGCGTGTGGATACTAACAGATCTATAGAATCAGACCTCAGTAACATGAAGCTCGGTGCTGCTGAGCGCTGGCCTGGACTGTCTTTTACTCTATGCAGTGTCAACATGTACTGTCTATGTCAGGGGTTGGGAACCTCCTTCCTCTCGGGAGGGAGGGGCTTAAGGGGCATTTAAATTTATTTAAAAATCTTCTGAAGGGCAACAATCGTTTAGCATATGGCAATTCAGACCCTGTCTTAACTTGTTTTTCTCCCGTCACATCAAGCAAATACAGACAAGGGTTAAAAACAACAGTAGCAACACAACAGTATTCATTAAAAACAACCCACAACTATGGTCAACATGTATCTGCGGCTCCGGTTTTACTCTTTAAAGTTATCTTTTTTTAAAACGGCTGCCTTTCAAAACACAAAACTAAATCTACATGTATAATATTAATATATCGTGCCTCCGCGCGCGCTCTATTTTTCCCGTAAAATCGATATTTAAACAACTATAAAAGTCAAATTGTCCGGAGCTAGCATGCTAACAGCAGTAATTAGCTTCTTTGCTAGTATAACACTCACCATAAGATGCTCTCACGACGTTGTCGCTGTCGCTCTGTTGTCTTGTTGTACATCCAAAGTCAACGCTTTACTTTAAATTTCGACCAAAAAAACAAAACAAAACCAAAACACATTTAGTCCATTTCTTTTTAAAAAGCGCGGTTTTCCGCTTTCCTTCTTTTTTTGCCCCCAGCAGTCGCTGTGATTGACACCTGTCAGTGACACCATCTTATCTCGCGATGACGCGTGACTTCACAGGTTGTGTTTAATGACCACGACTCTGGCTCGGACATAGGCAGTGCGTCAACAATAAACGTTTTTTTAGACATCCTAATTTGCATAATAGTAAATTCTTGAGGCATCTCACAATATGAAAACGAGGAACTATAAATGTAATCACTTTAACTATTTATATTGTGTGTAAATACATCTTAACTCAGTTCAACTTTATTTTTTACAGCGATTTAAATTAACACGGTCAATGTTAATGAGTCACGGAGTCTCATTATCTGAGGTTCGGTGGGTTTGGTTCTTTTTTGGGCCACTCTTCCTCCACTGTGACACACTGAAATTAGTGATTAGGTCCGGCTGAAAACTAATTGGTCTAATTATCAAAAGAGACTAATCAAGGTGCTCTGCAATGTTTTCTGCAGAAAAAAAACACGCACATAATCACACACGTGCACGCGCACTCTCTCTTTTGATGTGATGTCATCGGTTGCACACTCTCTGCCTTCAGTGCACGTTTTGTCTCTCTGTAAATTCTGGGATATTGTATTGACTTTGCGGCCAGAGCGCGGCTGTCAGTGTGTGGGAAACTCACGGAACATCCGGGAGACTTGAGACGTTTGATATGTATTTGTTTGGATTTGTCTGGTGGGCGGCTCTAATCGAGATGGCCGGCGGGATGCGGAGGTTCCCCACCCCTGTGGTGTCTATGTGGTGACCCGTTGATTTGTGTGCTTGCCTCGGTCACCTGTGTTTCGGTAGCTGTGGTTGTTTTTTTAGCTTTGTTTGATAATTGTGCCTACACTGAGTCCAGTGCTGCTCCGTGCTGCCCAGCCGTGAACTCTTTGTCCTCTTTCTTATTTCTACTTCAGTGTGTAGATATTGTTCAAACTGTGTAACTGTGGTTCATGAGGTCAAAGTTCGTGTCTAAACGTGGGTGTGTGCGCCTCTAGTGGTGATTATTTTCATATTCGTGCTAATAGATGTTTATTTTTGTTTGTTGCATGATTGATACACAACCAGATGTTAGTCAGTGGTTAATGTTGGATCAAGTGACATCGCTGTGTGACCCAGAGTGTGTACTCATGTACACCCCCACTCCCCCCCCCGACCCCCACACACACACCACATACATGCCTTCCACAGTGTGTTTTTAAATATGTGACAAAGTTAAAGAGAAATATATAATAATTCTGTGTTTATGATACAGATATATGACATGGAAAGATAGTGAATATATAAATCAGAGGTGCAAATACACGTGCACACAGCTATAATTTATAATATATGATTTTCAACCAAAGAATAAATAATTATCTGACAATAAAGGTCTTTGCACTGCAGTGATCAAATGTGTAAATATTAAAGAAGGGACTGTTAATACTACAGAGTACAACCTGCTGTACACGCCACGCCACATCGCCCCCTGGTGTGTACTGAGAGTATTGCAGGATACAATAATGACATTGTACATCCCCCCCCCAACCTGAATACTCAGTATTTCAACGTGGACTCTGGTTGTTTCACTGCCATGTTGACACTAAGCCTGTTTATCCGTCCCTTCCAAATGAAAGTGCAATAGATTTCTTTTTAAATTTTCACTATATTTTTACCATTTATTTTGAAATCAGATCTTCCATTGTCATAATGATCAATAAAAAAACTACTGCAGTAATATATATAGATATATACGTAAATATATATATATAAAATATATTGAGATGTTTGTATCCAACCTGGTAGAAGAGATAAAAAAAACAACCAAAACCCAGTGTAAAAAGAACAATGTTCAACAACCTGTTTGTTAAGTGTGTTCAACCAGCTCTGTGCGACCCCCCCATCCTGAACCCCCCCTTCCAGTTGTATATGAAGTGCCATTGTATCTGTGAGTGTATCTGTGTAAAAGCCATGCCTGAGGCTTTATGGACGTGTCGTTCTCTTCACTATAGGAAAAATGCCATGACGTTGTTCACCGAGGAACCGGCTCCGGTCCGGTCCGGGGCTGCACGGTTACTTCACCTTGGTTCAGTGATTGTGACTAAATATTGGATACACATGATTGTGCTCATTCGGCCATTGTGTTGAGGTGAAACTTATATCTTCAGACCTGCAGTACTGTAATACTAACAGTAAATGTACTTTGCTAAATATATATGTGCACTTGACACCCGCGTTGGGCTGTTTAAATGAAGAACAGAGTTCAATATACTGTGGAAAACATTCCGGTCTGAATATTTCTCCTCTTTCAATGGCAATAAAGCTTCATTTGCAATATTTAAACCTGCGTCGTCTCGATGAAGACTTTGTTTTTAACTTTTACATAAAAATATATATTAATGTTTTTTTGTAATAAAAAAAGTCAGGATTTTCTCTCAAATGTTTACAAACAAATGTAACCTTTACTGCAGTAAATCAGTGCCACTGTCGTAACCTCAGGGACTGGTCAATCATCTGCCAAATCAGTGCCACTGTCGTAACCTCAGGGTCTGGTTAATCATCTGCCATGGTGGTTCTCAAACTATGGTACGTGGATCACTGGTGGTACTAAAGCCGCCTCTAATCTGATTCCCACTTGGATGTGATTGGTCAGACCGGTGGTACTTGGAGAGATGCATTTTCTCCAAGGTGGTAACATTTTTGTGAGGGGGTGGGGGGGTAAGGGGTGTTAACTGAGACCTAAGAGCTGAGATTCTCACTGTAACATCTGCTGTGTGTCCTACATTAGCTGATGATTAATGACGTCATTAATCATCAGCTAATGTAGGACACACTGTTGAACAGACAGATCCTAAAGATGGGAAGTAGGTCCAGCCGTGAATTAAGCTTAGTCAGGCCTCCAGGTGGTGCTGATGTTTTGTTTTTTGTCCTCATGACGAACTTAATGACCTGCTATTTATTTTAACAATATACTTTTTTTTTTAAATAAACTGCTATTTATTTTAACAATATACTTTTTAAAAAAATAAATAAATAAACCACATTCATGGACAGCAAACAGCAGTTAGTGCCTGTGCCTTACAGCAAAAAGAACTCCCGTTTGCTGGTTCAATGCCTGGTGTGTCTGTGTGCAGTTCTCCTGTTCTCCCCTGGTTGATGCAGTACTTTCTTCAGGTACTGCAGTTTCCTTCAACAGTACAAAAAGACAGGACCAGGTTCACCCTTCACTCTCGTTTCCAGCCTTGTCATATTTTGATTGAAAATCTGATCACATGCGCAATACAGTCCACACTGCAATGCAGTGTATGTCGCCCTCTGGTGGTAACATCGAGCCCGTGGTCTGTTGTTGCAAATGTGAGTACCGATTTTTGATTCGATTTTGTCTGTAAATTCAATCAATAGGCTCTAAATTGCTAATAAATAATGATAGATGTGACTGTTCTTTAAAACGCAGTGTCATGCTAACATGCTAGGCCATCTTTACAGCTGAATTTCCACCTACGCATTACTCTCTTTTTTTTGAAGGTCTCATTTTCAAATCATGGAGAAACAACCGCTAGATGGAGCTGTTTAATGCCCACTGGGGCGTGTAATGCTTCTGGTCTGCTGTTAGAAACAAAACAGATAAACACACAGGACAGAAACGCCTGTTCAAAAAAAACAAAACAAAAACAAACAAAACAAAAACAAAACACGTAACGATCAACTAATGCTTACAGTTGTATTTCGTCATATATGAAACTCATGTTTGACCAGGGTTCCCTAGCATCAGTATCACATATATATCTATATGTATACATATACATATATATACACACACATACACATAGAGTATATATATATTCCTGTTATGCTTGTCTTCATACAGTGGGACACACCTACTATATATGAAACAAAATACACACCACATACACACACACTCATCCCCCTTATTTACAGTTAAATCACAACAGAATCCTCTGGTAAAGCTGCAGCTGGAACCAGACTGGACCTGGTCCAGACCAGACTGGACCTGGTCCAGACCAGACTGGACCTGCACGCTGCGTGTTTACACTACAACAAACCCCGACTGTCCTCACTTTCCACCGCGTCCCTCCCTTGCTAAACGATGGTTGTTCCACTGAGCTCAGCCAGGGGCCACACAGCACACGCTGGCGTGGGCCTGTGGTGGAATCCCCCGGTCGTCCTCGGAGCTGGATCCCCCCGAGAGCCGACGCTACGTTACCACTGCTACGGCAAACATCACACCCTGCCACAAAGTCTCACACTCTTCTGGTTTCTGCCTGCGGGCGGAGAGAGTGAGCGGCGCTGGGATCCGTACTCAGCCCTGCTCCACAAACTGACCTTAAAGTAGAACAAAGTGGGTCAGACCAAAGAAATTTAACTTAATTTTATTAAAATATTGAATAGACAACTTTCTCACCAACTGGACCTACGTGAAAGAGACGAGACGAAACAAGAAACAAAAAAAAAACAAAAACAAAAAAAAAATCTGATTAGTTTTCAAATAATTTTAAATATTTAAGACAACTGCCTGAAGGCCGACTCCCACGGACGGACGGAGGAGAATGTGCTTCTCACAAACCCACTCCACTCAGTGGTTGGTTGAAAGAAACCATTGCTTTTGCTTAAGTGTGCAAAGTTTTCCATCATGGATCCTGCTGGCTGTCAGACAGACTGTAGTTTCTGCAGAAGGACCCAAAAAAAGACCATAAAGACCGCAAAGACAAGACAACAAAACGAGAGAGAGAGAGAGAGAGAGAGAGAGAGAGAGGACAAATTTCTCATATCTACTCCACTGTCATGGAAGGCAACGCAAAAAAGAAAGAAACTAAAACTGTGCAACTGCATGGACTTCATCCAACGGCACCGATGTGTGATGAGAGGAGACGACGATGTGCAGGAAGTGAATCCTGTTTTTTTTTTTTTTTTCAGTTTCCTCTTAAGGCAGGTGCACCGCAGAGTTTCTTCACCAGGAACCATGGCGACGGGGGCCACAGGTGTTCAGCTGGGGGTGGGGGTCCCTTCAATGTCCGTTCATCCCTGCCTTAGGTCAAGGTGTGTGCGTGTATTTACAAATGTGTACAAGTGCACTGGACGGTGGCGTCAGCGGTGAGACAGGCTCCGCCCCCACAGTTCTACATCACATGCCAAAGTCTTCATGTGTGAGACCCTCACTCACTTCAACAGTTAATGTCAGACGTGCTTCTCCTCCTCCTCCTCCTCCTCCTCCTCCTCCTCCATGTGACAGGTTTTTCTTTAATGTTTGCATTGACATCTGCATATAAACAATTTGGTTGTGCTGAGTATTTGGAATATTGAATATTAGACGGCAGAAGGTGTAACAAGTGAAGATGGGGTGGGAGGAGGGAGAGGAGACGGGTGAGGTGAGGTGAGGGCCCCTAGAACACAGGCAGTCTGGTGGAGGTCAGAGTGCAGGTGTTGATGTCCTCAGTGTGGGAGACTCTGTGCAGGGAGGGTTCAGAGGCACTGCGGTTGATCTTGGGGAGGGCGTGCTGGAGAAGTTCAATGGAGGACAGGATCTGAGGGGGGGGGGTGGGGGGGGGTTCAGAAACAGAAGGACGGATGAGCAGCTGGTCCTGAAAAAAAAAAAAACCCGACAGACCAAGGAAGAAAGGCGCTAAACTGGTGGTCCTTGGACTTCTTTATACAGTCGGCCACCAGTCTCTTCATGGCTTTGGGGCAGTTCTTGTAGAGTTTACTGAGGTCTGGGGACAAGTAGCCTCTGCCCACCATGAAGATGATCTGAGGACCAACAGTCAGAACCAGACTACAGTCAGAACCAGAGAACAGTCGGAACCAGACTACAGTCAGAACCAGAGAACAGTCAGAACCAGACTACAGTCAGTACCAGACTACAGTCAGAACTGAGAGAACAGTCAGAACCAGACTACAGTCAGAACCAGAGGACAGTCAGAACCAGACTACAGCCGGAACCAGGCTACAGTCAGTACCAGAGAACAGAACCAGACTACAGCCGGAACCAGAGAACGGTCAGAACCAGACAACAGTCAGAACCAGAGAACAGAACAGTAAGAACCACAGAACAGAACAGTCAGAACCAAACTACAGAATTTATCTTTAACAAAGTCAAACATGGTCAGCCTCAAAATTCACAAACGTCTGAGAATGTTTGCTACAGAGGTCAGGTCAGGTCAGATCAGGTCAGATCAGGTCGGGTCAGATCAGGTTGGGTCAGATCAGGTCGGGTCAGATCCATGCTGACTGGTGAAGACTTTCCTCCATCTTGGTATCTACAGCCCACTCAGTGACCACACCAGTCAAGTATGTCTGGATTGTTAGAAATGTTAACATTACAGTGAGGTGGAGCTGCTTCACACCAACACTGGTCTCTGGTTCACTTCACAGCAGCTGTCACCCAACGTGACGTGTGTGTGTGTGTGTTAGTTAATGACAGCTGATTGGTCTGGGTGTCAGGGTGTCTCACAGTCAGCCCAGAGCAGCCGATCCCTGATCCAGTCTAAGGTGACAGCCATTAAAAGACGTGACGCTGCAGAGATAAAGGACGACTGTAGTACTGGTACTTCATGTGCCTGCCAAGTCAGCTCAGGACTGAGGGCCAACAGTGGATGTGAACAGAACTTTAGACGTACAGTAAACTGAGCCGGAGTCCACATGGAGCTGGACCCCGTCCAAACCAGGACCATGGAAAACCAAAGACCACACACCAGCACTTTCTCACACACATCTAGGGTTGTGTTACGGTGGCTAAAATTAGGCTCAGTGGCTCCATGAGGGGCCGCTGGCCAGTTCCACCACCCCCTTCACACAGTGACCCCGTGGATTTTCACCGACTTCAGGTCCAGCTTTTCTGTCCTAACACTGACACAGGACAACGGCTTCTACACTGACAACCGAATCTAACAAGGTGGGATCCTGGTTAGAGTCCGATACCGTTAGGAGGCCGACAATTTCAAAAAATTAAATTACAATAAAATGATTAGGAATCAAATATGCCAATACAAACGTTAGCTACAACAGTCACCAGAGCTAACGTTAGCTACAACAGTCCTGGTACAGACACCAGAGCTAACGTTAGCTCTACACCTAATTAATGCAATTCAATATTTTACTCACCTCCAATCACTAGAATAAATGATCATGACAAATCGTTGTTCACATTGTGTGTGAATCATTAGCTTCTACCTGATCTCTGTTTGCTATCTGGGAGTAGGGCAGCTCCCCCGTCATGAGCTCAAACAGAACTATTCCATAGGAATAGACATCGGACTGGAAGCTGTAGGGATTTTTATCCTGCATTCTGATCACCTCCGGAGCCTGAGGATGACGACACAGAACAACCATCACCACCATCATCATCATCATCATCATCAGGAACTAGAGCTGTGCTACAGACCATCCAGAGAATGGATCCTGACGGCTGCTCCACCTGGTGTGAGCCGCTCCACCTGGTCTTCACCGTGGCCAGACCAAAGTCGCCGATTTTCACTGTGAGTCCTTCATGTAGGAAGATGTCTGCGCGACAGTCAAGGGTTCACAGCCTCAGACTTACAGCACGGAGAGTTGTTTCACACAGAACAAGTGTTCAAAAGGATACTGTTGGACTTCATGTCCCGGTGGATGATGTTCTTAGCATGGAGGTAGCTGAAAACAGGACAGAAATGATGTTTTTTAGGGGGGTTTGTTTGATTGTGTGTGGTCAAAAGGTGGCAGCACTGAGGGCCTTACTCCATGCCCTGAGCCGTCTGCCTGGCGATGTCTATGAGCTGGATCATAGCGAAGTTTGTCTCCAGGACGTGGATGTGTTTGTAGAGGCTGCTGCCCTCACACCACTGCGTCACAATGGCCAGGTTGTTCTTGGTCATGTAGCCCATGAACAACAGGATGTTGACATGTCGTGTTTTCCTACGACAGCAACAGAAGGGAAGAGGAGAGAGGCACAACACAGATAAGGTTCAGATGGAGGGTGACATCACAAGGTCCTGTTTGGACATGATCTCCACTTCCTGTTCACATCAGAACGGGTCTGAACGTCACAGACTCAGGGCAGAACTCTCACCCCCTGACTGAACATCTAACCTGGACGTATGGGTGCGTGTTGGCAAGAATCTGTGGATACAAAGTATCACGATACAGGTGCAACGATACGATATATTGCGATACTATAGTCCTGATACGATATATTGCGATACTATAGTCATGATACGAGTGTAGCTGTAGTCCAACTGTGATCCTAGTCTGAGACTCGGCTGACTTCACTGATGGACGATAAAGACTGTAGCGCCACCTATGGACTGATCAGGTCGGAGGAGACGACTCTCACCTCAACACGGCCACTTCATTCCTGAAGGCCTGCAGCTGCTCAGGTGTGGGATCCGTCACCTTTAGGATCTTCACTGCTACGTCACCTGTCAATCACACACCAGCGTCAGGTACCGATGATCAAACCAACACCACTTCACGACCGGAGTGACATTTCAGCACAGAGGTGTCAAAGTGTTAGCTGGAGTTACAGCTGCAGCTGCCCCGCCCTGTGGCAAACACATTCCTACCGTGCCATTTCCCTTTGTAGACGGTTCCAAAAGAGCCAGAACCGATGCAGGAGTTCAGGTACACCTCGCTGGCCTCGATCTCCCAGTAGTAACTGGAGTCCCTCTTGTCCCGGGGCCTCTGAACCAGAAACAGAACAAAAAAAAACCAAAATGAACAAAACTGGAGCTGATTTTTATTTGATATGGAATAAATCAACCAAAAAAAATACAATTTTATTCTTCTCCTGTGTGTTGTAGGACGGCGCCCTCTCCCTCTGGGCGGGTGCAGGGACTTTGGTCTGGGACCAGCCGGTCGGGCTTTGACTGGGAGAACTTCCTGCTTCAGGGACAAAAAAAAAAAAAAAGATATAAAACAAGAGTTTGTGAATAGAGGATTTTTTTTTTAATTTTGCTACATAATAGACAAGAAAATCTCAGTTCATTTTTAAAATTCTAACAAATGGATTTTGTTTTAAACTCTAGATTTTAAACCGTAATGGAAGTTTGTTATACCATAATTATAAAGATGCAAAAGATTAACTGTAAACCCCAGTATGTAGACAGAGTTGTAATAGTATATAATAATAATAATAATATACATACATGTACAGAGGGTATATATCCCTCAGCAGGTTCTTACCTGAATCATGATCCCGCATTGCGTCCTAATGAGGACGAAGAGAGAAACACAGAGAGTTGCGGTCAGTGGTGTCAGGTGATGATGTCACTCACGGTCAGACTTCCACAGTACAGTGGTGAGAACACAGACACTCTGCTCTCTGACCTGTTCTGGACTCTCAGGCGAGGCCTCAACAACAGAGCGTGGGAAGTGCACTATACCTACTCTTCTCCTCAGCCAGAATCTGTGGCACCAGGAGGTGGCAGGAGTATCGAGCTACCCCCCCGACAGAGCATTACAACAGGGCAGTGAGGACAACGGTCAGAGGGGGGGGGGCAGAGTAGAGTCAAGTGAGGAAGGAGCAGTGACCACAGGTCAGACAGTAACGGGACATGTGACGTGGTCACAACGGTCAGAAAGAAGATGGAGGAGGAGGAGGAAGAGGAGGAAGAGGAGGAGAGTCAGGTGGTGAAAAAAGACCAAAACCAAGTGAGAGAATGAAGGAATGTCTGAAATGTAGATGGGGGGGCGACATCACCCCGAGGGGGGAGGGGCCGTCTGAGCCAACAGGAGGAACCGTGTGGCGTTCACTTACCTCAATCACGCTGCTGTCTACAGGCAGGGTGGTGCTAACCATGTGGACGTTGGGCGTGGAGGTGGAGCGCTGCCTCTGGGACAGGCCGCCGCCCGTGGGTGGGTAGGGCGTGGTGTAGTTGAAAGGATGAGGGGTGGAGTAACGGTGGGCGGAGCTGTGAGGGGGAGACAAGGTTGGAAGATGGAGATTAGAGGAGGGGGGAACGGGGGGGGGGGAGTTCAACCTAAGCTTTCATCATCAGCGACGGCGGCCCACTGCGCGG